TTACTATTATTATTATTATTATTATTATTATTATTATTATTATTATTATTATTATTATTATTATTATTATTATTATCACTATTATCATTATTATTATTATTATTATTATTATTATTTTTATTAATTTTATTTTTATATAAAATATAAAAACAAAAAATGATAAATAAAAAGATAAAAATGAAAATATATAGACTATCCATTTTTTTTTTTTTTGAAAGCTATTGAGACAAAAAATATACGTATAAAAATGTAAAGTTATTTATTTGTAAAGAAAAAAAAAAAAAAAAAATTTAAAAGACTTTAAAAAAATAATTTAAAAAAATTTTAATAAAATTAAAAAAACAATATTGATATTAAATAAAAAAAAAAAATTAAAAAAAAATTTATATTTGAAAAAATCATATAAATTACGAACTTAACTTTTATACTGATTACCTTATAATTAACTAAATTTAGTAAAACTTTCATCAATATAAGAAATTTCAAATTTTAAAAAGAAAACAGTTTCTCAATTAAAAAAGGTGCTTTCTTGTTTTACAATATTCAGATAAAAACTCATCAACACTTTTTACAAAAGAGTATTCAGAATGCATTTTATATTTTTTTGTTTTTTTTTTTTTTTTTACAATTTATTAATTAATTAATTTTAATTAAAGAAAATTATAAAATTTTTTTTTTTTTTTTTTTTTTTTTTTTTTTTTTTTTTTATTTTTTTTTTTCTTTTCGGTTCTTTTCCTTTATTTCAATCAAAAACAACTATTAACCCTCAAATGGGTTTGGAATTTCAAAATTTTTGGGCCCTTAGGGTTATGGGAAAATTTGTTATTTTTGAAAGGGATTCCTCAAACCCAAGTAATTGGGAAACCTGTCCCTTTATGATCCAAACAAAATCAAATAAGATAAAGATTGGTTGGGGCCCATTTTATTCAAAAATTACTAAAAAGGAACTTCTTTTGTCCTTAAACGAAACGAAAAAAAATAAAAAAAATAAAAAGTTATTGTTATTTATTTATAAAATAAATTTTCCTTATAGGGGAAGTAGATTTTTTTTTTTTTTTTAATTTTATTACTTTTTTTAAATTTATCTATAATATTTTAAATTTTATTTTAATTCTTTTTTATTAGTTGATGATTTAATATTTTTATTGAATGAACTAATCTTGAGGAATTTGATTATTGCCCTAATAATTTTAAAAATAAATTAATATAGTTAAATATAAATTATTACATATTTATATATATATATATTTTAGTTATATTAACTACTTCCCTTAAAAAAAAGTAATCACTTCTTTGTATAATTTGTATCAGCTATAAGGTTACAAGTGGGGCCCCTATAAGTTAATCAAAATACCTCGTTAACGTAAGTATCTTTGAATCTGATACAAACTATACAAATTGGTGGTTACTTATCTATAAAAAAAAAAATTAAAAAAAAAAAATTATAATAAAATTTTAATAATTAAAAAAAAAAATAAACAATTAATAATTTTTTTTTTCTATTTTTTTTTAATCTCAATAAACATATTCACATTAAAAATATTAATAAAATATATAAAATCCCATCAAAAATAACAATATAATCATTTTGAAAAAATAAAATCTTCAAGTAAGTTATTAGCCCAAAATATCATAAAACTATAATAAACTTTATAGAAAATAGAAACATACACATTATTCTATTTATTAAATCTGGTAATTTAGATCCTGTATATCAAGTAATATGTTACCCTTATTATTGTAGAGCTTTTTTCATCATCACGTTTCTTTGTGTAGTGTAATATTTAAGTTGTGCTTAGATTTTGATTTAACTGGTATCGAAATCATTAATTTAAACAAAAAGGTAGTGGTGCAAAATCTCTAGACAACATAGTAGTGTGGAATGGGTAGCACCAAGTGGTGAATATTAAAATCGAATCCTCTAGTAGTAGAATTGAATCTGTAAGATCATGTGGTTCAGAATCTATTTCACCAACTTGTATAACTCTTACTGAACCATGAAATTTTAAGGAACAAATAACATAAAAGTCTAAACAAATATATTTACACCAATCACAAATTATAAAATAAAATAATAATTCTTTGCAAATACTGTTAACCTATAATTTTTTTTTTATTTTTTATTTTTTTTTAAAGAAAAAAACTATTAATTTTAAGAAAAAGTATATCAGAAATAATAAAAGTACATTTTTAATTAAAAAACATTTAAATAATAAAATAATAAATAGGAAATAGTAAATAATAAGTAAATTATTTATATTTTTTAATTTTATACTTTATTTATAATTTAATTTTTTTATTTTATTTTTTTCAACACATAAAATAAATTTGGACTATAGCAGATACAATAAATAACAATCACAAGCAATTGCTTTAATAAAATTATAAAAACTAACAAGCCGATATCATAATGGGAATTGTTTAATACGAAAATCAGTTATTTATAAAATGCACGAGAAACAACTTGAAAACAATACCAATCTTAGTAGCTTTATATATATAAATGTTACCATCAAATTTTGGAACTATTTAAATGATAGTGTTTTCAACAAATGTCAGTAAAGCAATCAACCAAAAATAAATATCAACACTCGCATGGGGATGCTTATGTATAAATCAAATCCTTTTAGTCTCACTGATGATCCAAAAATGATAAACGATAACGATAATTTTTAATCACAACCTTAACATTCTTCTCTGAAAGATTGTGAAGCTGCGCTTCCAATCTACCATATTCATTGTTGTATTCTATAAATTTTCAATATTAGTTTCTTTACCTTCTTTTTATATATTTTAGCTAATTAAATAATATCGAACCAATCAAAGAACTAAAAACAAACAGTTTTTTAGAAGTAAATAATGATTTCGATAATTAAAAAAAATAAAATAAAATAAAATAAATAAAAAAAAAAAAAAAAATATTAAAAAGAAAATAGATGGATATTTTTTTATGGTGATGTTTTTTTTATTTAATATTTATTTAAGATAATGTTTTTATGAAATCCTTTCGACTGCCTTTAATCAATGAACTTGGTGTTTTTCTTTCTTTTTTCTTCTTTAGGTTAAATGACCTTCAATTTTGTTGATATATGTCAAGTATTCTTGGTACAACTATTTCTTGGTGATGATTGATTGGTCAATATCTGCTATTTTATTTTCAGGTTTGAAGTGTTCCAATTAGCTATCAATTCTCTTTTTTAATTTCTTTTTATTTAAAAACTTAATTGATTTCTAAAAACAAATTAAATAAAAACAATATTGATGAATAAATAAATAAAAAATTAAAATAAAAAATAAACTTACAGTAACTCGGTTATATTTGTTTGTTTAAAAAAGAGATAAGTATTATTTTGTAAATATTTTAATTAAAAAATTTATTTTAAATTTTAATTAATTTTTTATAAAAAAAAAAAAAAAATATTTATTAAAAAAATATAATTAATCAATAATAAAAATGTGATTACATGAACTTCATTGCTTAGTTTTTATATTACTTTTTTTAAAATTTCTTAAGTTCATATAAAAACTGGGTGGCTATAACCCCCATTTTTTATTATAATCACTTTAGATTGATTTCTTTTTTTGGTAAATTTCATTTTTTTTTTAATTTTTTTAATATTTTAATATTTTAATTTATATTTTTTTTTTAATTTTCATTTTCAAATTTTTAATTTTCATTTTCAAATTTTTATAAAACAAATTTTTATTTTTTTTTATTTTTATTTTTATTTTTTTTCTTTATTATTTTTTCAATATACAAATAATTACATACATTTATTTTATTATAGTTTTCTATTCAATAATAATATTTAATATCAATAATAATTTTCAACACCAAATCAAATAAATAACCATTCACATCCAATAAATAACCATTCACATCAACCACACTTCAGTCTAATTCAATAATGGATTTTGTTTTTATCTTAATTCTTGTAGCCATTAGTTTTTTAATTGGTTTTATTTATGATTCTTTAATAAAATTAGAACAATTAAAAAAACAACAAAAAGAAAAAAAAGAATTAGAAAAAGATCAATTATTAATGATTTCCAATTTAAATCATCAAATTAAGAAGTGTGAATTAGAAAATAAAATCCACCATAATCAACTATCTATTGAATCAAAAAAACAAGAAATCGTGGATCAAAATAATAAAAGTGAGCATGATAAACTAATTAAAGTTAGAGATGACCAAACAGATGAAATTTATCAACTACGTAGTTTAATAAACCATCAAAAACAATCCCTTCAATCCTACGGTGTTAACCAAGGTAAATTGGTCAAAGAAAAAGACTCACTCAATATTAAATTGGATGATCAAATTAGAAATTCAAATAAACTCCAAGAGCAAATATTAGAGAAAAATAAAATTATCCAATTTCTTGAAAAAAAGATTGAAACAGAACAACAAGTTTTAATCCAGCTTTCAATTGAACATAATGAAGCATTGGAGAAATTGAATTTAAAAGAAGGTGAATTAGAAACAAATAATATGAACTATAGAGAACAAGATCCATTCGATAGAGAACCATTAGATATGGATCAAAAAAGCGAAATTTCAAGTATTGGAGAGTTTAGCGAAATTTCCGATTTTAAAGATGATAACGAACATTTAGATATTGAAGAGAATAACGAATGTACAATTTGCTATTCCAAAATGAAGACCATGAATGTCTCCTATATAGGTTGTGATCATAAATTCTGTTTCGATTGCATCCTAACATGGTCCCAATGTTGCAACACTTGCCCAGAATGCAAGAATAGATTTAATACAATCACCGTAAGTTATTAAAACATTCATTTTTGTACATGATAAATTAAACTTATACTAATAGTTTTATTAATTAATTGTAGAGGGAAACCAAGGTAGAAGGGTTAATAAATGTTGCCGATGTTTGTTGGAAGGACCAGTATCATGAATCATACAAAGAAGAAGAGATTATTGAAGATATGGTTTTATACCATGATCGATCCGATCCAAACATTGATGACCTTATGGATATTGATTCATATTGAAATAGGTGGGGATAAAATTAATAATTTAATATCTTCTTTCATGCTCGCCTATGAGCTCTGGGAAGACTAAATAATTATTAACTATATCTTTTCATTCATTGTTTCAATTATGATTTCAATAAAGTTGTAAATAGTTAACAAGTGTCATCAATGAAATTATCATATCTCTTTTTAAAATTTTGGTCATAAATTATGCACAACAAAAAAAACTCAAAAGTTAAAAAATATTCTAAATGTTCCGGTATCTATTTTATAAAAGAAAAAAATTATTTTTAGGTAACTATAAAAATTATATTTATATAATTATTATTATCCTTGAATATAAAAGAAACTAATATTTAATTTTAATATTTATTTTCGTTATTTTCAGTTCCTACATGTTCTCGTTTAAAATCACGTTTCTACATTTAAAAGCTCACAATCAATTCACCACCAGCACCTCTTGGGGATTTCAATTGCAAATATTTTAGAAAAGGGTCTCATTCAGGATTTTCAATCAAAAGCTCACAATTCACCACAACCACAACCACAACCACCACAACCACCACAACCACAACCACAACCAGCACAATCCTTCAATGGAATCACTATCATAAAAACTATAATAAAATAAAAAAATAATAATTTAAATTTAATAATAAAAAGACTTTATTAATTTTTGTAAATAACTTATTTCTTTATTTTATTTTTGTGTATTATATCTTATCTTATAAAATTTTAATCTTTTTCGATAAAGAATCTGGTATTATCAGGTAATACTATTTGAGCAAAGGATTTTATTACAATCATTTTAAAAAAATCTAAAAAATCTAAAAAATAAAAAAATAAAAAAAATTATTCTTCTTCATATTTTCGATTGTGACCATAAATGATATTTCGCAACCACCTACTAAATAGTGTTTCTTTTCTAATTTGGCTTCAAAGAATCTTAAAATACCTGAATTATTGTAACCTGATTTCATTGATTAATTGATTTTATAAAAATAAAATAAAATAAAAACTTTTTTTATAAAAATTAATTTTTTTTTTTTTTTTTTATTTCATTTATTTTATTTTATTTTTTTTATTTTTTTATTTTTTTAAAAATAAAAAGCATTAATGTTATACAGAAAATCGAAAACAGCAACAACAACAACAAATATATTTAATAATGAAGAAAAAAATAGTATAGAAAATGAAATTAATAAAACTATAAAACTAACAACAGATAATGGTATCAGTAAAATTATAAAAACAAGTGGTAACGGAACAAACTTTCCATTCGATGGCGATCAAGTCTATATTCATTTTATTGGCAAGACTATTGATGGAACAATATTTGAAAACACTAGAGAGAAATCAAGCTTTTCATTTATTTTAGGTAGTCCAGAAGAACCAATCAAAGGATTCAACTATGCAATTAAATCGATGAAAAAAGGTGAAATCTCAACATTTACAATTAGAGCAAAATATGCATATGGCAGCGTCGGCAATGGTGACTTAGTACCCCCTAATGCAACCTGTATTTACGAAATAGAATTAATCTCATTTAATAATAACTGTGATATCTCTACAGAAAAAGATGGTTCAATATTAAAGAAAATTTTAACAAACTCAATAGAAACCAATAATGACAATAACAACGGTCAGCAACTACCAAAGTATGAATCAAAAGTTTTAGCATCTTTCAATATTATCAATAGTGAAAATAAAGAAATTTTAGATAAAAGAGATAAATATAGTTTTAAGATTGGAGAAGATACAGCGATACTAGATTTAATCGAATTGATAATAGAAACTATGCAAAAAGGTGAAACAAGTAGAGTAGAGATCAACTATATCAAATTTATTGAATCATTGAAAAGAAAACCAATTGAATCATTACCAAAACATTATAAAGACCTAATCAAACAATCAGAAATCTCCACATCAACCGACAAAATTATTGTAGAAATAACATTACACGACTTTCAATTAGAAAAAGATAAATACCAGTATCGTGTCGACGAATTAATAGAACAGGGTTTAAAAAGAAAGGAAGAAGGTAATGTTTATTTTAAATCAAAGTACTACTCGATGGCAATTAATAAATATAAAAAAGCAATCGAATTTTACGAATTTGACTATGGACTTTCAAATGAAGAAAAAGAAAAGATTAAAGAACTAAAAGTGGCGTGTCTATCAAACCAAACCGTATGCTTATTGGTAAACAAACAGTGGAATCAAGTTTTAAAGAATACCTTGAAGGTTCTAGAATTAGATGAAAAACATATCAAATCCTTAAATTCCAGAGCCAAAGCCTATAGGGAATTGGGAAAATTAGATTATGCAATGCTAGAATTACAAAGAGTTTTAAAAATCGATTCAAGAAACAAAGATGCAATAAACGAAATTAATGAAATTAATAAATTAAAAGAAATAAAAAAGAAATAAATAAACATAATTTTATTATATTTTTAAAATAAAATTGATTATTTTTTATTTACTATTGAGAAGAGATTTTAAAAAATATTTAATTATATATTTTTTAAAAAATAGTTTATTATTTATATATTGCTTATTTGTTGGTGTTTGTTGGGTTTTTTAATTGAATAATATTGCTTTGTTTTATTAAAAATAGATAATCTAATTGAATGATTTTGGTTCATTAAAATTATCCTTTAATCCTTGCCAACATTTCCAATAATCGTCATCAATGAAATTCTTTTTAGCATAGTCAGAGATACCTAAAATGAGTGATGATTCAAACATAAAAGCTAAAGCAACATCTGGGATCTTGGATGGTTTGAGGTCAGCCTTGACAGCAGCTTCGAAAGTATCAGCGTCTGGACCATGTGGAGTCATACAACTGTGTAAACTACCACCACCTGGAAGGAAACCTTCTTTCTTTGCTTCGTAGACACCACGAATTAAACCCATGAATTCACTCATACAATTACGATGATAGTATGGTGGTCTGAATGTATTTTCTTGAACTAACCAACGTGGTGGGAAAATGACAAAATCGGCAGCGGCAACACCTGGTTCGTTAGTTGGTGCAGTTAATACTGTGAAAATGGATGGATCTAAATGGTCGTAGGTAACTGAATTGACAGCACAGAATAAACTTAAATCATATTTGTATGGGCAATAATTACCGTGCCATGCGACAACATTGTATGGTGAAAAGTTTTGTTGGGCAGTGTAAAGTTTACCTAAAAATTTATTAATCTTGGTATGGGCAACACCATCTTTCTTTTCAAATGCAGCAACTGGTGAAAGGAAATCTCTTGGGTTAGCAAGACCATTGGCACCAATTGGACCAAGATCTGGCAATTTGAAGTGTGAACCAAATACTTCGCAAATATATCCTCTAGTTGGTCCATCAACTGAAACACTGAAACAAATACCTCTTTGAATAACACAAATTTCACCAGATTTAACTTGTAAATTACCAAACTCGGTTTGGATATCTAATGTACCTTGTTGTGGAACTATTTAAATATAAAAATATATTAATATCTATTTTATTAATACTATCTATCCATCCAATAATACATACCAATTAAGAAATCACCATCAGAGTTATAGAATGATTTATCTTCCATATTTTGATTAGCAGTATAAATATGAATAGCAATACCATGACGAACTGATGGATGACCAGCTCCACCTATAGTAATTAAACCATCAACAAAGTCGTGTGGTTTATCTGAAATTGGGAATGGTTTCCATCTTAATTGATTTGGGTCAATGTGTAAATTATTTAAATCTGCGAGTAACTCTGCACCCTTTTCGAGTGGTTTGAATGGAGTATGACAAACTGATGGTCTAATACGATATAACCAACTTAATAAAGAAAATATTATTATTTAGTAAACTTACTTATTAGCCAAATGTTATTTGTATAATTTGCGCTATGTTTATTATTCTATATTTAAAACTTCCTGTTTAAATACTTACGATCTTTGTTGTGCATGTCTACCAACGGTAAAAGCATTACCTGAAAGTTGTTCAGCATATAAATTATATGGACAATTTTGTGGGGTATTTTGACCCTTTGGAAGAGCACCTCTGACAGCTTCGGATTCAAAATTGTTACCAAAACCACTTTGGTATGTATATTTTTCAATTAATTCTATTTTATTCATTTTAAATATTATACGAATTTGTTTATTATTATTATTATATAAAGATTAAAAATTATTATATATGTTAAATTTTTTATTATAAACTATTTTAAAAACAATTGTGTAAGCTGACAATTTAAAAGATTATATAAAAAAATATATATTTGTATGTGTATGTGCCTTAATTTTTTAAAAAAAAAAAAAAGACAAGTTATTATTATGTAATGTTTAATTATATTATAATTTTATTTGCCTATTAGGAATAATATATATATCAATAGCACTATTATTACTATTATGAGTTTGTTGTGGTTATTGTAATATAGAATAAATAAAATAAATTAAAATTTTAAAAAAAAAAAAAAAAAAAAAAAAAAAAAAAAAAAAAAAAATTAAAAAAAATAAAAAAAAATATTATAAAATAAATAAATAAATATCAAAAAAAATTATAAAATTTTATTATTTCAATTTGGAAAAAACGAAATTTAAATAAAATTTTGGAAATTTAAATACTATTTCCTTAAACTGATTATTTTTATTTTATTTAGCAGTGATAAATACCCATTATCATTAAAATTTAAAAAAAAAAAAAAATTTTAAATTTTTTAAAATAAAGCTTAAATAAAAATAAAAATTTGTCAATTTTTTGTATACAAAAAAAAATTCTAAAATCTCTGAAAGGTAATATTATGTTTTGATCGTTTCGTATATATATATATTGATTAATTTCATAAATATTATTTTATTTTTTTTATTATGTAAAAAAAAAAAAAATAAACGAGTTTTTAAAAGTGGGTTAAAAAAAATTTTATATTCAATTTAGAAAAAATGAAATTTAAATAAATTTTGAAAATTTGAAGCTAAATAGTTCTTTCAACTGATTATATTTTTATTTTTAAAGTGATAAATATTTTTTTTTTGGTGAAGGATAAAAATGATATTAACAATAAAAATATTTTTTTTATTCTTTTATAAACATTTAATTGATTTTTTTGATTTTACAAATGAGGAATATTCTATAACTTAAATTTAGACCAAATATTAAATATGGTATACTTATTTTTAAAATAAAAACAACAAATTAAAATTTAATTTAATATTTAATCTGTATTATTCTTTTTTTTTTTAAATTAAATAATTTTTAAATGTAAAAAAAATATCTTTTTCAAAACATTCGAATTTTGAAAAATTTTATTTTTTTTTATCGAATGAAAAAAAATTTTTGTTCGCATTTTTCTTTCGAACTTTACAATAAAATAATAATGCTGTCTAATATTCATTTCATTAAATTTAAAAGAAAAAAAATAAAAAAAATATAATTAAATAAAATTAAATAAAATTGAATCAATTATTAAATAATAAATTAAAATAATCATTATAATAATAATAATAGTAATAATAAAAGTAAAAATAATAATATAAAATATCTGTAAATATATTTTTTTTTTTTTTTTTTTTTAAATTTTTTATTTTTTATTTTTTTTAAAATTTTTTTTTTATTTAATTTTTTTTATTTTTTTTTATTTTTATATTAATTACAACTTTACACAACTTTTTTTATTTTTTATTTTTTTAATCTATTTTTATTTTATATAGTATTTCTGTTATTTAATATAAAGATTATTTAAAAATATATAAATAAATAAAATGTCAGATCCGCTAATACAAGAGGGTGAAGAGGAAGATTTTGTATCACCTTTTGCTAGAACTGAAAATTTACCAAAAACAACAGCACCAACCTCAACATTATCATATCCAACATCTGATGAAACATCTGAAAAAAAACAAGAGGAGCATCAACAAGAGGAAAATCAAACAACAACAGTAACTAATACAGAGGAACCAAAGAAAAAGAAACCATCACAACCACAAAAAGAAATACAGCAAAATACAGAACAACAAGAACAAGAACAAGAACAACATCAACAACAACAACAACAACAACAGCAACCACCAGTAGCAAGTAGAAAGCCAACATGGGTACCTGATAACCATTCAAATAAATGTGAGATGTGTAGTGTACCATTCACATTCCTTAATAGAAGTAAGTAACTATTATTAATTATAAAACAACAATAATAATAACACCAATAGCTATTATTTATATTTCTATAATTATACTTTGATTGATTTTTTTATTAATATCGATTACTTTTTTTATAGGACATCATTGTAGACGTTGTGGACATTTGTTTTGTGGTTCATGTTGTTCATTAAATACATCTTTGCCACAAGAGTTTGGATATACAACAAGAGTTAAAGTATGCTCTAAATGTTTTACAACTACAATTAATGAAAGAGCATTAGAAGAAACTACACATACAATTAATATTGGTGGGGTAAGTAAAGAAACAAAAGTTGTATCAGGTGTACATAAAGTATTACTTTGGAAAATGGGCGCACACGAGGATGGCGATTTTAATAGAGACATTATCGATTCCATTGAAAATGCACCATCAACACCAATTCCAGTTTCACGTGTTCAAGATTTATATTTAGATCCATCAGTTTTAGATGTAGAAGGTTGCACAGGTTTCAGAGTTAGAGTTTATAACCCAGCCCTTGACCCAGGTGAAAAACCTTCAATTTATCCAATTTTAATGTGGTTCCATTCTGGCGGTTTTGTTTCAAAATCAATTGAAACCCCATCTATTGATGGTTTATGTAGATTATTATCAAATCAAGCTGTAGGTTATTTTTAAAACAATAATAATAATAATAACAACAATCAATAACAATTGGGGGGTTTTTTATTAATAATTATTTAATTTTTATTTTAATATTAGAAATGTGTAGTTATTTCAGTTGATTATAGATTAGCACCAGAACATATGTTCCCAGCAGCAGCTTTAGATTGTTTTGCAGCAACATGTTGGGCAGTAAAAAAAGCATCCACCTTTGATGGTGATCCTACAAGAGTAGCAGTTGCAGGTGATAGTTGTGGTGGTAATTTAGCAGCAGCAGTAGCATTGATGGCAAGAGATAAAGAAACCCCAAGACTCTGCGGCCAAGTTTTAATTTGTCCAATTTTAGATTTAAAGAGAAATGAAGATAAATATTATACTCGTGTGGTCCATAATGACGGTTATTTAATGCCAATGAGTTACTTTAGATGGTTCTCTTCAAAATACTGTAAGGAAACTGATGTTGACAACCCATATGCAAGTCCAATTCGTGCAGCAACTACAACCAAAGCATTATGTGGTCTTCCTGTATCCCATGTTATTACCGCTGGTCATGACCCATTCATGGATGAAGGCGAACTTTATATTAAAAAATTAAGACAATCCAATGTCAAGGTTTACCATACTCGTTATACAAACAGTACCAATGCATTCTTTGGTATTGGTCTTGATGAATCAAATGAAGCTGTAATGGAAGTTTCAATTATATTAAAATATATGTTTGGTGTAAAAAGAAATTAATTTTAATAAATTTAGATAAATATAAAATATAAAATAAAAATAAAAATAAAATAAAAATAAAATATAATAAAAAAAAAAATAAAGATAATAAAAATCCTTATATTAATTATGTAATATTGTATAGTTTTTTTTATTACTATTTGTTAAACCCCTCAATCGATATTTGAACTTTGTACTCGGTTTATAATCTCAAAATTTAATATTTTTTGGTAACCCCACTTTTTCAAAACTCAATTGCAATTAAAATTATTATTTAGCAAAAAAAATCGAAATAAATGTGGAACTTTTTCACTCACCAAATTAAGATTTAATGGAATGGATTATTAAATTTTTTAATATTTGTAAAATTAAAGAAGATTTTTTTTTTGTATAAATTAAATATTAAATTTAAAAAAAATAAATTAAAAAAAATATGAAAAAAAAAAAATAAAATTTTTGAAAATTTTTGATTTTTTTTTCATTTTTCGTTTTTATTTAAATATACATAAACATTCAATTGAATAATATGTTTAAAGTTTGTAAAATAAATAAAGCGGGTATACCGAAATATATCAAAGTAAAACCACCACCAAGTAAACTTATAGCAAAGCCACTATTAAAAGAAATAAATAATGATTCATTATTAGAAAAAATCCAAATCAAAGCATTGGATAATATTATTAGTAGTAATAACAATAATAATAAAAACAATAGTAATAATAATAATAATAATATAGATAGCTATACTAAATTAAAACCACCAGTTATTGGGGAAAAGTCCAAAAGAAAAATAATTAACCTTGATATTCAAAATATTAATAATAATAATAATTATACAACATTTACAAAAGAATTTAAAGAATCAAAATCAAAACAAAATTTATTATATTCGATTTATCCAATAAAGAAATTAATATTTTCAGAAGAGGAAAAGATCGAAATTCACAGAATAGAAACCCTTTTGGACTCAAACGAGTTGGACAAAGCCATCGAATACTACCATGACTCTTTATTCAAAGAAGATACTGATATAAATTATAGAGGTTTTTCAATGATACTTTACTATCTATTAAATAGAGCCGATTCAGTGACAGCAACACTCGAGTATTTCAAATACTATACAAACGAACATTACATCAATTGGTTAGACTCAATTGATTTTATAGAGTTTCTAAGAGATTGTTATCAAAAGTCACCAGAGGCAGTAAATGAAATCTACAGTTTTTTAAATACAAATAAACTATTGGATATCAAGAGAACATTTATATTTTGTATATTTTATTTGCAATCCAACTTACAAGAAAAAGCAATAGAGATAATAAATAATAGTTTTAGCCAAAGTAGCTCCAAATCAAATACACATAGTCAAGCGGGTGAAGGAGAATACAGATATTTAAATGACTATTGGGACTTTAACTCTAATGGAAATTTACTTTACATGAATAAACAAGTTATGAAGCGTGATGCAAAGTCATTAAAGTATTTAAAAGAAATTCAAGCTTTTGATAAATTATTTGCAGTATCTGGTAATCATCTACAATTTTATTCAACCATTACCCAACTTTTTATACCAAATGGCATTATTACATCAAAGAAATTAGTACCTTCACTAATACAGTTTATAAATGTGTGCTTAGAATCAAATGAACTTGGATTATTAAATCAATTAATGGAACCATATCAATATAAAAACTCAGCACCAACACCATTTGTAGAGGAAACATCCACCAAAGCTCAAATTTGTGCTCTACTATACTATTATTGCTATTTTAATAGTAATAGTGAAAGTAGTAGCAGTGGTATAGTAAATGTTAAAAACTATTTGTACAATTCTATCATCTCAAATCAAATTCAAAATCCCGATAATTATAGATTTAAAGAAATCTTTTTTGATACATTGTCATTATGTTCATTGGAGCTTGGGGATTATGGCGAAGCAATTTATTTTTCAGATGTAAAAAGAAATGTTTTAGAAAAGTATTGCAGCGAATATTACAATAGAACCATTGGATTTAAAACAGATATCTACTTTCCATTTATAGCATTCAACGAATACCAGAGCAGAAAAGAAGTATTAGAAGGTTCAAATGCAAATAACGAAAAAAAGATTAATGAAAATAAAAACTCAATTAAATATTGGAAAGATAAAAATAATGAATCAATTATTAAGTTTACCAATCCATCACCTCTAAATTCGAGATTACCAACATCATCATCATTTTTATATCGTCCATTAAATATTCAAGAGTTAATTAACGAAACAGATAAACTTATATTTAACAGAATCGAAAAAAAACAAATCAATAATCCAAGAGAACCAGATTCAATTCACTATTTTAAAAAACTTTTAGAATTAAGAGATCAGTTCCCAAAATTATCAAACGATAAAGAATTTATTGAAAATTTTAAACAATATTTATTATTAATAAATGAAGAAATATATAATAATAATAATAATAATAATAGCAAAAATAATAATAGTAATATAAATTTAAACAATATTGTAAATATAAATAATAATAATAATAATATAAATATATTTTATAAAAAATTACCACACTCAGAATTGTTTTATTCATTGGTATCAAGATTTAAAGAATACTACGAAAACATTAATATGAAGGAAGAGCTTTTAGTATTTTTATCGAAATTAAATCCTCAATTTTCAAACAATGTTTTCAATATTAACAATGAATGGTTTGAATATCTCTATGGTAAAGATAATGAAGGTTTAAAGTTAATGGCTGAGACTCTAGATCAAAATACACACAAATCTACAGAGTTTTACAATTTTTGGTTATACAAATTATCAAGTTCTGATAAACCTGAATATATAGAGGTATGTTGGAAATTAATTGAAACAATGATCAAATCAAACATTAAATTTTATAAAAAGCCACTATCATCATTTTCATCATCAATATTTAACTCTAATGAACCATTAACCACAACACAAATTAATATTTTAAATGAAATTAAATCAAACAATCCATGGTGTGAAGATTCATTAGATTTATTATTTATAAAGTTAAAATTTTATCCAACAAATAATTTTAACGAGTTTAATGATCAAGAGTATAGCAGTAATCATAACGAAGATAATAATAGTAATAATAATGGTAATATTGAAAACAATAATGAAAATAATCAAAAGAAAGAATTATTTAAAGCTAGAAACAAGTTAAAAGTATACCCAGTAAAAACACCAGATTTAGTTAAATTATTTTTAAATTTATCAAGTAAAGCGTATCCAATTAAACAAGATTTTTCAAATTTCCAAGAATGGAACTCAATATCACTAAATTCTACAGATTGTATTAGGGCATTCGTTCAATCAGTGTGCACCATTTTAATTGAGGAAAACAAGATCAATGAATTAAATATATATATAAACTCTGAAAGAAAGGTAATTGGATCTATGAATTTCAAGGTTATTCTTGAAATAATATCACCATTATCACCCATTGGTCAAATCTCATTCATCCAAAACCATATGCGTTTATCCAATAGCTATGCCAAAGAATTTGTATCCTACATTAAAAAATTAAAAGAGATTATACCCCCCGAAAATAGATCAGAATTCTCAATTATCGACTCAATAATTTCAAAAGAACGATACACCCCATCGAATGAAATGAATGAAAAATTACAAAAACATAAAGATTTTATTTATTTATTTTCAAAGGTATATTTTTAAAAAAAAAAGAAAAAGGTTTAAAAATTATTA